GCCAGCCCCTCGCGCCCCCACGCGCGCCCGGGCCGAGGGCGCTCCTCTGCGTGCCAGGAAGGGGATATGCCATTTGGACATGTAATTGGCAGCACGGGATCTGAGACTTCCAAAAAATGAAGCTGGCGGCGGGACTGTGGGTCTGGGGCAGCCTTCTAGTGGCGGCGGGGACCGTCCAGCGCAGCGCTTCTCAGTCAGGTGGGTCGCGGTTCCTGGTTGTCGCGCTCCAGTTGCGGAACCTGCCGCCGCTGGTCCGGCTGCCTCTCGGTCTCTCTCGCCCCCTTGTTCCAACCTGAGACCTCCACCCCCAGGCGCCGAGAAAACCATCTACGGGGTCCCTTGGGGCTGCTAGTCGCCCCTCTTTCCGCCCCTAAACTTATTTATCATCTGTGTGTGTTGTGTGTTTGTTTTATTTATCGTGCAAAACCTCATTGCGCCTCCGTCCCTCTTTAGCTCGCCTTCTTTCTCGCGCGTTTTCACGCACCCTAAGCGGGATCCCTCTGGTTGCGCCTCTCCCCTGAGGTGAGAGACCCAAGTGCCGGCTCCGGGGAGACTCGCCTCCGCGATCTCGGCCCTGAGAGGGGAGAAGTCAGGGGGTCGCGCACCAGCGCGGTGGCGGAGGGGGCCGAGGTCCCCGGGCGGCCCCTGGCAGCCCTCCTGAGCGGTGGAAGGGGAGCTCTGGGAGCAGCTTTGCACCTGTGTGCGTGTGTGTGTGTGTCTTGGGGCGCTGCGCCCCGGGTCTCCGAGCCTCGCTGGGTCAGACCTAACAACCGTCCAGCCGGGGCAGCTGGAGAGCAGCGGGCGCGTCAGGGCCGGGGGCCCCGGAGCTTGGAGGGTCGGTGGCCGGCGCCCGGGAGCCCGTGCCCGGTTGGCGTGAGGGCCGCCGCTTTGCCAGCCTGACCTCTTCGTAAAGAGCCTGGCGCTCGGGAGGCGGCTGCTGCGCTTGGCCCGGGGAAGAGTTCTTCCTGTAGTTCAACTTGCTATTGGCCGGAGTCCCTCCAACTTCTCTGTTTACAGCCGGCGGGGCTGCAGAGCTGGCCCGCCGCGCGAATCCATTTAACCCCGCGGCGTGCGCGGCCACTGTTTGCTGGGCAGCTGGAGCCCCTGAGAACCCCCATGACGGCCCAGGGCTCCCCAAACCTGGGAAAGGCGCAGCGGGGTGCTGGCGCTCCCGGCAGGCGGGACTGCTGACAGCACCTGCCGGGAGAGAGGGAGCGCAAAGTTTCTGACACTTGAGCTTTCCAGGGGATGACAGTGGGACAGGAAGGGAGGTTGGGGTGAACCGGTGGCCGAGCGGGGTGAAGGGGGCTTTCTGGAGAGCGGGGGAGATTTCCGGAGCCGTCCGGGGCTGGCCACGGGAGCGTGGGAGGCGGCGTGAGGAGATAAAGCTTCCGGGAAAGGCGGCAGCGAGAGCTTTAGGCCCCGGAGCGTGTCCTTCTGACCTCACTGCGAAAAGCAAGGCGCGCACCGGTTTGTCCCCGCTCCGCCCCCCGGGCTCGCTCCCCACCAGTTCCAGTCATCGAGGCTTTCCAGACGACCTACGGATGGCACACGCGCACCGCCGGGGCTGGCCGTCTGCGCCCTCCCCCTTGCTCCGAAATTCTTCATGCATACCCGGTCCTGCCACCTCCGGAATCACACCAAGGCTGCTGGAGATTCCAGGCGGCCTCTTGGATACATCCCTTTTTATTTCCCGCCCCACGCCACAACCCCTTCGTATCTCCCCTTAAGGGGATGATTATGCACGTTGACCCATTCAGACGCCTTTGCCACTGCCCCGCAAGCTCCACAGAGAGGAATGTGGACGGAGCGACCTACTGGGGGCTCCTCTGGTGCAGCTGCAGAGGCGGGGGTGGGGGGGGGCGCCTCCAGTCCGCAGCATTTTTGTATTAATTGTGAGGTTCAGGGGCTGAGCTATGCCGAAAAGCCCTTTTCAGAATTTCTGCAAGGAATGTAATCCAAATTAGTTCTGCAGCTGTCCAGAGACACCAGCTCGCGCCCCTCACTCCTCTCCTCTCCCTTCCCAGGGGCGAAGTGTCAGACCCACGAGTGAGCCCAGAGAGCGCCAGGATTAGCGTCTCATTGTTGTTCCTTGTGTGACTGTACTTGAAATTCTGGGGGCACAAAGGCGAGACTCACTGGTTCAAAAGACAGAGTGATGTAGATGAAAGGGCCACACAAAGAGAGCTCCTGGGTGCATCCTTGGTGTAATTGCAACATGCATACTAAGGTGATCCTTTGGAAATGGGAAATGTCCTCAGGGACTTGGTTTTTCATGCTCCGTGCAGCCCGACCCTGTCGCACCTGGCAGAGAAAGTTCAACTGGTTTGAATGGCGTGCTATTATAAAACCAAGTTACTGTCTGGAAGGTGACAGAGGCTTGTCGCTAGTATGTGTGTGGCTGGGTCTTCCCCAGTCTCCCTTCTCACGGTTAACAGTCAGGAGCAGTTTTGGCGGAGTTTGTTTTGGTCCAAATGAGAAATTAAGTGCGGATAAGTAAACTAAGCTGCCAGAGGGCGACAAGATGTTGAGTGAATTGCTTTTAGATGAAACAAATTAAGGAAACGAGGGAAGACAATCTGCTTCTCGCATTATTAGACACGCTTGGAGTTCAGGGGAAAGTGGCATATTTTTGAAATGCTAATTTCTTAAGAAGCAGAAGGAATGCACCTTATTTACTGCTCTGTGTGAACAGAATAAAAATATTGGGGAGATCATATTGTATGGATTCAGAAATATTTCTTACAAGTCATCGCAGCTCAAGACTTATTTTTTTTTTCTCTTCTTTTGTTTGAAAACCATAATCAGCTTGAGAGATGATTGGTAATTCTGCAGGACTGTCTTATTTCCAGTGATTCATTTTATCGAAAACTATTAAACAAAGGCCCTTTAGAGGGCGATTATAAAACCTTTAGAAGCTAAAGGAATGATTCCAAAATTTCAGTGTTCCACACGTGATTAAAATTTGTCAGCTTTGTATGAAATAAAACACACGGTTATTGAAGTTAATGCTCTCTCATACCTTGCTAAGTGGGACACACAAGTTCACTTTTCATATTTTAAAGTAACTTAGCCTTGAATTTTTATTTTATAAAAGTTCACATATTGTCCTCACATATTGAAGATCTATCATGATTTGCCTGAACCAAATTGCTTTTTACATTTAAAACAGTAAACTTTATTTAGATGCCCATAAAAGTTATTAAATATATCTTTTAAAAAAATCATATCCGCCAGCCCTCTCTACCATACGTGTTGACTCTGAGCACACTTTGGGTATAGGATTCCTTTATTTTACTTTTTGGTTTTGAAATTGTTTAGTTGTACTGGGGAGTCTCATTAGAGGAAGGTATTTTTAATTTTTTTATAATACTTTTAAATACGTGAATACTTGCTAGTGTAACTTCCAATCACTTGGAAGTGCTTTAACTCTAGGCTTTTACACAACTGAATGATTGGGTCATGATTTCTTGTCTCCTAATGATTTCCTCTTGAATTCAATTGCCTTTATTGATTTTAATCTTGCATAGATGGAAAGTAAAATTTTGTTGAAATCAAGGAACTACTGGCTTACATATATACACTTTCACTTACTCACTGGAAATATGTCTTAATTAAGAAAATAAATTAGACTCTTTACCAGACATGCACTTCATGGAAGATTTATATATTTTTCACTCTTTCTTGAACATAGTACATTTGCATTGGCTGATTTTTACAGTTCGCATTTATTTGAGAGAAAAAAAAAGCATATTTCCTTTTTAAAATAGATTCAGATATTTAGTATTCATGAGCTTTCTTTCTTTTGATTCTTAAATAGAAGTGCTATTTATCATGTGTCTGATGCACTCACCCTTTGTGGTACTATAGATTCTTTCCTCACATCCTGTTACTTATTGAGTTTATAGACGTGCAACTATCGTGCAACTATCTTTCTCTTTCCATTACTGAGTGTATTCTTTGTGTGTGTGTGTCCTAGCAGACTGCCACTCAGTCAGGGAAGGAGTCTTCTGAATCAGTTTTCATTCCTTCTTGCTGATAAATCTGACATGGCTGGATGGCTGGACCTCACAGGCCATTCCATTGCTCAGATTTATTCCTGCAAGAAAATAAAAAGGCATCGATCCAGAATGGCTAGCACATCTCTAAAGCTGTGACTCCAAGGCCAGACCTTTCCACAGAGAAGTCCTCTTTTCCTCCTTCTCCCCTTCTTTCCTTTCCCCAAGGAGAAAGGGTGGACTCCTACCTTTATGAAATATCGGGGTACACGGTTGTGTGCTGTTGTATCTTCTGAAGGATATATATATGAAGATGCTCTGAAACTTGATAATTAGAGTCATTTTAAAATTAATGGCTATGTAGGGTGCACATTTTAAATATATTAAATTAGGATGCCTTAAGCATTGCAGTGCTTTAAAGACATGCTATTTTTCTATTATTTTAGGGCACTTATTAAGAAAATTTAACATGCATTTTAAAGTTTAAGTGAGACTATTTTCCTTTGTTCTCCTGCTATTGTATATAGGTGTGTGATTTTTAAGTACCTAATCCATAAATGAAGTGTATGATAGGAAAAAGGGCATTTTGTTACTTGCAAATTTGAGAGGACTTTCTGTTTGATACTATTTTTTTGGAAGATACTACTTTATAGTGATATATATGATTATATTGTGATTTGCTAATACACTCCCAAAACTACAGGTATTTTTTTTTAAATGTCCAGCACAAAGCACTATTATTTTTCATAGTAATCTATTGACAGTGTTCTGAAAAGTAGACTTACTCATATTGGAAACTTTTCTCCAATTATGTCATTTTGAAATGTTCTACTACGTTCCATTTGATCATATGTAATCACATTGAATCTTTTCTAAAATGGAAATGTAAATATTGGACAATGGTAATAAAACTTTATTTAGCATGGTTTCTCTTATAGCTAGCTATTTACTGACTGGAATTCAAATTTTTTAATGAAGAATATTATGTTCATCCTCCCTTTTGTTTAAATAAACTAACAACAACAACAACACCAAAACAAATCCTGCAACTGTAGCACTTTTCCTCCTTTGAAGAAGACACTAACTTTCCATTTTAGGGTTAAGAATGAGACCTGACATAGGTAGTTTTAATCAGGACTTTTACATCTGAGTGAGTGTCTTCAGTGTCCCCATAATATATTGGGAAATACCATTTGCTTA